GGGGGGGGGGGGGGGGGGGTTGTGTGTGGGAGCCCCACAGGGCAACACGTCTCATCTTCAAACGTCCCAGCTTGTCCGAGCAGTGGGAGCTGCCCTGGCCCAGCGTGGGAGAGCAGGCCTGTGCTAACCCCAGGACCCCACCAACTTCTGGTCCTCAGATCCAGGCTGTCTCGCTGTCTCTCACCCTTCCCTCACTGGACCCAGTATACTGGGAGCCTCAAGTCTGTGGTGTGGTAGGAAGAGCTCTGAGGATCAAAAGATACCCAAGTCCAGCTTCTCTGGATGGCCTTGGTCAAGTCATTTCATTTCTCAAAGCCTCTTCTGTAAATAGGGATACATCCCACCATATAATCTGGGGTAAGGTGGAGCACAGCACTTTCTGAAAGTACCAACTTCTTTATGAAGGGTGGGCAAAGATGGCATCATGGCTCAACTCTCAGATCCCCACCTGCCTGCACCTTGCTGGGCAGGGCCTGGTTATCTCCCTGGGCACGAACAGAATGTTGGCATTGCCAAGTCCTCCCAGGTGGCCTACTGTGCTGGCCACACCCTCCCTATGAGCCTCTGCCACTCCTGCCCAGCTGGGCTCACTCACCCCCAGGTGCCAAGGCCATCCTGGGCACCACACCTGTAGGGATGGAGGAGGATTCCAGAGTCACCTTGATCATCCCTGCTGAGGCCACCCACTCCCTGCAAAGCTCCAAGGCTGCCTCGGGTTTAGTTACCTGTCAGTTAGAAAGGGAAGCTGTTTAAGCAGTGATTGCCTGGAAGGAGAACCACGCTTCAAAATATAAGTCAGATCATGTCGCTGCCATGCCGACCCCCTCCTGGGGTTTCTCATCCCAGTCGAAGCACAAGCCGTAGACTTCACACAGTGCAACACCCCCATCTGCCCGCTCCTGTCGTCATCCTACAAGCCTCCCACTCACTCCCTTGCTCGCTCCAGCTGCACTGGCCTCCTTGCGCTGCCAGCATGTTCCAGGCCCTCTCCAAGCTGGGGCTGACTGCCCTGGCTGCTCCCCCTGCCCCAGACAGCCACGGCTGCCCCCTCACCTCACACTCTTTTTCAAAGCCTCACCGTATGGGTGAGCACTTCCCTGCCCACCCCCCTTGAACATGACACCCCCAGCCCTCCATCCCATCACTCCTCATCTATGCTCCACGCTTCTCCAGAGCATTTATCCCACCATCTGGCAGCCTGAAGACTTTAATCATCACTGACTGTCTGTAAGCTCCACGAGGGCAAGCATTTTCGTCTCTTTTGTTCACCGCTGTATCCTCAACAGTGAAACGTTATGAGCTCATACTAAGTAAGCACCTGATACATCTTGGTGAAAGGTAGGAAAGAAGGGGGGAAGGGGCAAGGAGGGAAGGAGAGGAGGAGGAGGGAGGGAGGGAGGGAGGGAGAGCTGTAGCAGATGGGAAGTCAACTGCTGGCAAGCACGATAACTAGAATAGGTAACATTACTAATAAGTAATGATGGGAACGATAACCAGCCACCGTTTCCGAGCATCATCACAGTAACTCTACGAGGTGGGTCTGAATGCACTCATTTGCAGATGAGGGGTTAAGCAGCTGGCCCAGGAAGGCACAGTCGGAATTTAAACCCCCGCTGTCTGACACCACAAAGAGACAAACACCTGAGCTGACTTCCTCCCAGGGATAACGCGCGCAGAAGGATTCCGGGCTGTCACAAAGTGCCCAGGAGAGGCTTATTACCATCAGGAACACTTGATTCAGCCCACCTCTGGGTGCTGCGTGGACTGCAGAGACCCTTCTTCAAGGTCCCTGTGCCTTAAGAGGGTGGTTAAAACAAGGACAGAGGAACACGGTTCTTTTTCTCTACCAAGAACCGGCTTGGAACCAAAAATCACCCTTTGTGGAGCAGAGCAGCAGATGGGAAATGAACGTGGTCTCTTGCTCAGCACTGAGGTTCTCTGCACAGATGCTGCTGAAGGATGAGATGGCTTCCCGGCTTCCCTCATGCCATCTGCATCCTTAACAGGGAATCCTGGCCCAAGACTGCAGGGCCCGGGGCACCCGAGGGGTGGGGCACTCATGGCAACCAGAGCATCTCCCGTCCTTGGAAGCCCCAGGCCTGCACCTCTCTCTGCCCAGGGCCTTGGTGCTCTGGGGCATTTCCTGGGTGCTCAACTTCCAGAGGGCTGTGGGGAAAGGAAGGACCCGGAAACCTCTACCTGTCTTCCCCTTGTGTCTCACAGTCCCACTTGGTCCTCAAATCTCCCTGGTCGACATCAAAAAGCTGTTTCTCCTGAGCCTGCATTGACGGATCCTGCTTCAGTCTGCCTGAGACCCCCATCCTCACCCCAATCCCAGCAGCAGCTCTCCGCCTCTCCCTGCCCCCTCTCACCCAGCAAAACCGACCCAGCAGCCTGGCACGCAGCCGCCCTCAGCTGACCACAAAGCAGGAGTCCGTAAGTCCTCGTCTCCTATTAGAGGGATAGCAGCAGAGCCAAGAGCTCTGGGCTGCGAGTTAGGAGGCCTGCATTCTAGCCGCGGCTTTGCCAGGCACATGCTTTGTGGCCCTGGCCAGTCGCTTAACCTCTCTGAGTGAGCAGAGTCCCCATCTGGGAAATGAGGGGAAACAGTGGGTTAAACCCATAGTTTTCTGTCCCTTAGAGGCCAGCGCTGTGTTCTGTCAGGTGCCTTAGCGGGTTAGCAAGGGATGGCAGAGGCGGCAAGGCCCCTGGCCCCCATGAAAATCAAAGCACCACTACGTTGAGCAGTTTTCACCTATTAAGGTTCTGTGCTAGACTGCACCTGAGTAAAGGGGTCTTCTGAGGAAAAAACGTTTGAAATCCACTGAGTAAAAACCCACAGGCCTGTTTGAGCTTTTAGAAGAGGCTCTATTTCACGGCAATGATGATGGCATCCTGTGCCCTAAGACCTAGAAACGCCTGAGCATCAACACCTATAAACCCATGGGGCTTCCAGGACCTCCGTGCAGGCCACCATCCTGTCCCTCAGCCTCAGGTCTTCACCAGGCCTAAAGGCTGGGAAACGGTCCCCCAGCCGCCCCGACTCCTTCCAAATCAGCCAAGAGGAAAACGTCCTCCCCTGCCCCCAACGGCTTCTTTCATATCCTGGACGGGTGGCCCAGCCCTGGGATTCTCCCAGGTACCGATAATCCCGCGTATGAGGGATTAGGCCGATTACCTCAAGCAGCTCAAGCAAATAAAGCAGCATGTGGGCACCACCAGCTGGGATTTTCACAGTGAGCGTTCTGCAAAGGGAGAGAAGGGAGGAGACAGGTACTCTGGAGCTCAGGGACGGGGAAACGAGCCACCAGAAGACTCGGGCCCCCAACGGGAACTGCCGTCAGAGGGTGGTGGAATCGGTTTCTGCCCTTGGGAAGTTCCGGTGATCCGACCTCTCCCTGTCAGGACGGAGCCTCCCCTGCACCTTGAGGCTTCCTCATCCAGCCCCCGGGACCCCACGTGCACATGGGGCACCACGTTTGTGCCAGAGGAACCCATCCAGCAGCTACTGCATCTGCTAACTACAGGCTACGCATCCAGGGAAGGGGCAGGGTGACTACAGATTCAGGCTGCAGGAGCTGAAAAAGAAGCTTGGACAAAGCCAACTGCTCTGGGATGTCAGAAAACCATCGCGTTGCCTGGTAACACACCTCATCATCACGCGCATTTTTAGCTACGGCTTTCCAGGGGCAGTGTCCAGATTCTCACTTCTAGGAGTCCCCCGTGCTGTGTGTGAAGACACAGGTCACTGCGGAGGGAAAAAGGTGACAGCAGAAAAAGGCCAGGTGCCCTTTAACAAGTCGATGACCATCTTGTGCCTCAGGTTTCCTTGCTTCAAACTCAAAGGGGCTGTGTGAACGCTCCCCAAGGTTCTGTCTAGCTCTGACACCGCCTGACCTTGACATCTGGACTGTGAGTCCTGCACTTGCCCCATCCCAGCGGTGTAAGATACTGAGAGAGGATGGGGATCCTTTCTGGCCCTTCTCAGGGCCATTCTAAGCTGCTCCCCAGTGCCCTGGGGACCAAGGGGAGGCAGCTGGCTCTCAGGAAATCCTTGACTCCTTGTCTCTACAAGCCATGTTCTCTCCTTGGCAGTTTTACACCATCTTATTTAATCCTCAGAACAAGCCTGCAAGGTAGGAATGTTACGAGGCTCAGAGAAGTTGGGTAATTTCCAAGATCACTCATCTTGTAAGCGGCAGAGCTGAAATTTAAATCCAGTCTCTTCTAAGACCGAAGGCCATGTCTTTTTTTCTGTTCCTTGCTGCCTCAGGATAGGCAAAACGTACTAAGAAGAGATGGAATCTTATAAAT